GATGGAAACAGTCATCCTAAGTGAGAGATCACTCAGACACAGAAAAGCAAATGTTACATGTCCTCTATCATAAGTGGATGCTAGCTCTCTATCTTTAGATAGGTGTGTTTCAGCTGGAAAATCCTTAGAGACCAGAAGCTAAAAGGGGCCATGGTGGAGACGGGAGGGGGCTGTTCATGAGAGGGGAAGTAAAATGCAGTGATATAAATAGGAAAGGGGAATGGTCGATAGAATAGGTTTAATGGATGGGGAATGGGAGAGCAGGGCAGAAGAGGGAGTAAGAGGAAGAGGGGTAACTAACACTAAAAGCCTTTTGAAAGAATCATATGGAAACCTATGATAGAAACCTCTATGGAAACGTGTGTGTGTGTGTGTATGTGTGTGTGAGTGTGTGGGTGTGGGTGTGGGTGTGTATGTACAATATAAAAAGAGTTTAAATGTAGTTACTCTATAACAGGGGTTCAGTGACCCAATAGACACCACAGGCTACTAAATGAAAAGCCTAATGCCAGAAATGGACTCCTTCCTTTGAAGTTGCTGACCAGGGAGATCCCATAGATCCTCAAACAATAGTGGCTGTTGATATTACGTTTGGTTACTGACCAATACTTGATGGTAAGATCCTATTGCTGAAGACACTGCATACCTGAGCTGCAGAACAAACAAGGAGAAATCAAATACTGACATCAAAGCTTCATCTCTGCTGGCTGGCTTTCAGTGTACTAGAAGGTGCTACTCATGTTACTGGCAGAGAACGGTAGTCATCATCCTTACCCAGCTGTAACCCCTATGAGCAACAATAACATCTGGCTTGGCAAAATATGCCCACTGATAGAGAAGTGACATGAATGTTATGAAAGTAAACAACCACCTTCTGATTGGATTTAAGGCCTGCTTCACAAGATGGAGTCCATACCTGACACTGATATCAGGGCCAAGGACCAGTGGCTAAATAGGTCATAGACAATAGGGGAGGGCCTACCACTATTATTTTCCTAAATAGACATAATATAATACTGACTCATAATGACTAATTATTATACCCACAGACTAGTGCCTCTCAACCCTCACCAGAGTAGGTTTTTCTTGCAGTTGGTGGCAACTAACACAGAGCCCAATTAATGAGACATGCAGAGCATAAGAAAACAAGTGCTCAGCCCTAACTGGGACACCTATAACATAACTGCTCCTTAGAGCTCAGGAATCATTTTGGAAGAGAGGGTAGAAAGATTACAAGAGTCAGAGGCAGTAGATGAATACAAGGAAACTGTTGTCTGGACACCACAGGGTTCCACATCGCATATGAACCCACAGCACTTATGATGGCACATATAAGACCTGTGCAAACCCAAGCCAGACAGGGACTCAGCATGGATGGGAGAAGTTGGCAGAAATAGATGCTAGGAGAGGGGAGACAGTTTTCCTTACTTTTGTGATGCTTGGTAGGATAACCATAAGGAAGAGGAGAATTGACAGAATATTTCCACTTCTGTCTAACATGGGAATTCTAAGAACATCAAATAGGAATGAAAACTCAAGTTTGAAGAGGAGGGATCTTGGTGTGTCACATCTGTGTGCTCCTTAGATTGTACAATCAGCACCATGGATGGGATTCTTTCACAATTAAACATTCTTCAAAATGTTACTGAGATAAGAAAAAATGGAAAAGGAAAAGGAAGAATGGAATGAAGGAAGAAAAAGAAAAAGAAAGAAAGAAGGGAAAGATGAGGAGAGAGACAGAGACAGAGAGACAGAGCGATTCAGACCTGTCCTGAATTTTTGTTGCTTCTGTGAGAATGTAGACTAAAATAGCAGTGGTGGAAATCAGTCTGGTTGCTCTTCAAAGACCCGTTTGTACCACCTACCCTGCTATGTCTACATCCAGGACAAATGAAGATCTATGTTAATGCGAATTCAAGGGCACACATTTCCTAGTACCATTACTCTTAGTGGCCAAAAATTGTAGCAAGTGTCCATCAATTAAGAATATATAAACAAGCTGGGCATGGTGGCCAACCTGGTCTACATAGTGAGTTCCAGGCCAGCAGGGAGACTCTGTCTCAAAAAAAAAAAAAGAAAAAGAATATATAAACAAAATGTATAATCATGCAGTGAAATATTTTGGCTATAAAATGAAATCTTGATAAATGCTACAACATTAATAATCTTAAGAACATTATGGAAAATGAACAAGTCAGACATAAAATTAAGCACTTTATAATTTTATTCATGATTATTTCAAGAATAGACCAATCCATAAGACAGAAAGTGAAAATTATGAAAATGGATAAAGAAGAATTGAGGATAATAATGGAGTTTATTGTGAAGTGAAGGAAATGCTCTAGAAACATTGAAATATTCATTTGGAGATGAAAATAGTAACTTTTGTATATCAAGGTAAAAATATTATAATGAAAAAACTCAAGCCTGGTGTCTGACTGTGGCCAATAGAAAAGACAGTGAAGATCTTTGAACTGAGAGACCAAAGTTCGTATATGCCACACAACCCCAGTCATGAGGTCACTCTAGGAGGAAGGATCCCCATATGTGAGGACACAGTGGCAAACCATTATTGACAAGATTCCTGCTGCTGTGCTGAGTTTTCAGATGGGACTATAGGTAAGTAACACTGAGGTTCCAGGCACTATTCTGAGCAGTTTTCACATGTTCCTCTGTCATTTTTACAACAACCCTGTGTCCGTGGTTCCCAAAGTTCAGTAGAGATCAGAATCATCCTCAGGGCTTAATAACAGTTCAGATGGCTGGACACCATTCCCTGTAGCTCTGATGGTCTGAGGCAGATCTCAGAACTCTCTTTCTTAACAAGATCCTTTGTAGATGATGAGCTGTCTATGACCAGGCCTTAGAAATGGCTGCTGAGCTCTAGATCCCTCAGCCTCATTCTTCCACTCATTTCCCATTATTTGCTTGGCAAACTCAACTACGGGAGGACAATGGTCCCAAGAGAAGTGGACTGTGAATCTTGAGGCCATCTAAGATGGGACTTCAAGTCTCTGTAAGAACATTGTTTACATTTGATGAAGGTGGCTACTCACCTGTAATAACAATGGAAAAATAAATTCTAAATTAAATGCTTTACAACAGAAAATTGTTCTGTGACACTCACTAAATTATATCTAGAGACTATTAAAAATGATAGAGATACATATAGAGATGACATGTTGGGTTCCTGCAGTTATGGAGAGGGGCTCAGCTCCATATAAAAACATGTAAGGGTATTTTATAGCCAAGCAGTACAGTGGGGTTCCATAGATGCAAAAATATTACAGACAAACAGAAACATCACTGGTTAAGGCGATTATAACTCAGTAAATGTTCAGGATTCTTCCTGCAGACAGGCCAAGTTAAGAAGACCTCACCTGAGGCAGGTGGAGGAAAGCATCCTGATCAGACCTAGAGGGTGATCAGAGATCAATAATGATGATTTGTGTTAGTCTGGCTTATTAGGATTCTTGTCTACAATGGGATGCTATGAGGAAGGGCACAGACATTGTTAGCAGAAAATGGGTCTGAATTGTGTAGGACCAGGTATCATTTAGCAGATTTGAAAAAAATAGTTATTTTAATAATTCACAATGTTAATATTGTCTTACTCTCTGTGATTTAAGTATCTTAACTATTTCTCCTACATTTGGAAATTTAGATGTTGTGTACACTGGGTAGGCTATAGGGAATATATCCTTTTATTTCCCAATCTAAAGAAGCAACCAAATGCAATAGACAAACAAAATATGGTGTCTCCCTGTAACAGACTATAACCTGAGATAATAAAGGTAATTTGACACTGGTGACTGGGGGATAATTTACCTCTTTTTAAAAATATTTATTATTTTTATTTTATGTGTATGAGTGCATTGCCTGTATGTGTGTAAGTGCGCCTGTGTTGTGCCAATGCCTGCGGAGGTCAGAAGAGGGTGTTGGATCTCCTGGAACTGGAGTTAAGAACAGTTGTTAGCCTCCACGTGGGTGCTGGAAATCAAACCTGGGTCCTCTGCAAGAGCAGCCAGTGCTCTTAACTGATGAGTCATCTCTCCAGGCCCACTAATTTACCTCTTAATGGTCCCACTCTTTAGTAGGCAAATTCCTCTACAGAGAAAACTCAGTGGAGGCTCCTGGTGTTGGGGAAGAGGCAGTGACTATGTTCAATGAATGCAGAGTCTCTTTGAAGAAGAGAAAAATGTTTTAGATATCTACTTGGTTTAAGTTGCATAACAATGTGGGTGTCCCCAAAGCCATTGAAATGTGTACCTAAAATGGCTAAAATGGGAATTTTCATGTTATGGATCTGTTACCCTAGTGTAAAGAGTAACATGTCAGATTGTGCTTCCAGATGGGTGCTCAATTTAACAAAAGACTAAAAAAAAAAAGTGAAGCAGTTCAGGAGACATCTCTGTCCAGCTCCTTCATGTTCCCTCTTAGGTTTTGGTCTTGAATATCACTTTACTGTTTGGGGATCACCTTTCCCTAAAGATTCTTTGGAGAGCCAGCTCTGTTGAAACCTGATGCATCCCAGTGGCTGTATTCTCCTAGGACTCCACCTTAGTTGTGGCTCAAACATGAAGTTCTAGACTAGAATGTACTGACTGAGACTACTCCAGGAGATTTTAGTCAAACTGTCTTATTCTAAAGTAAAATAAGCATTAATCTGATTTTCACATAGTTATATGAAGAAACCTTTTCTTGAGCCCTTCATCAAACAAAATGTCAGGATGCTACGTGATCTCAGCCCTAAAGTTTGGTTCCATACCTTCCACTGTCAATATCCATAAGCTCACCTCCCCACAGAAGACTGAGGTAACCTACACCCACTCCTCCAGGGCAAGCTGGAGCCAGATCTGTACATGCCTGGAATCACAGAGCCTGGAGGCCCAATCCAGTCACCAACACAGCCAATCAAAAGAATGGTAAGGTTGAGGGGTGGGACCAGAAAATTGGGATTTAAAGCCTGAGTGAAGTGTGGCTGGGCCAGATCCTGTGATCTCAGAAGAGCGGAGTCTGTGGAGTGCACCAAGGCAGCAGCGGTCAACCCTGGTGAGGCCCTGACTCTGCCGCTGCAGAATAGGAATTGACACTGGCGGGGAGTGCTTTGAGGGATTCCTTGGAGTATCAGGCAGATCCCGTCTGGGAGAGAATCTCTCCTCAGTCTCAGTAACCTTAATGTGGGGAAGAGGAGGAGGGTATAGAATCCAAATGGGGTACCTGGGCTCCTGAGGGGCTCAACTTTGAATAGGTTCTCATTACAATCAAGTCTAGGTATGGCCACAGAGAGTGTCAGCTGGTCCCTTGCACACCAGCTACCACGTCCATCTCTTCCTGTGCTAAAGGGGATCATCCTCTTATGCATCATCCCTGGGTATAGGCCTCTGTTTGGGGTTTGTACACGCAGAAGGAGTAAAAAGTGGCATGTCCCTAGCCACATCCTACATGGAGTGTTGCTTAGAAGACCCAGAAAGTCCTGAAGCTGAAATCTTAGGAGAGGCCTGCTCTTGAAACACCTACAGTGGCAGCTCTGATGCCCAGTGGCTTTTGCATGTGACCCCTTCCTCACTGAGGTCGTGAATGGGAGTTTTGGTGGCATGGGCCCAAGCGTGGGATAGAAGGACTGTTAGTTGTCATCCTTCCGATATTCCGTAAGGACTTTTGAGAAAGTTTTCATTCTAGGTGGGAGTTTTTGAGAAATGCCTTTTTCCTGTGTCTTAAGCAGTAACATAATGTCATGTTGCCCCAATTCTTGACATCATCTTGTACTTAGCATCAGATGCTACATTTTCTTGGTACAAATCCTAGGTCACCAATATCTTAAGTGCCCAGTTGTTTTGAACCTCAATGTGCTTGGGCATCTTTCTAACAGAAGGTGCAGAGCATGGGCAGTTTTCATGCCCAGAACTCTGGGCATCTGCTCTTCATTTTAGTAGACAATCTGTATACCATATGTGGTTGTTTTAGTCCAACAACAGCTTTAGCCTTTTCCCAAAATCTTTGGATAAATATTTGGAAGAAGAACTCAATTTTATTTTACTATGGATGGATGATTTCTCAAGAAGGAGAAAGATGTCTTTTTTTTTTTAATATTCCATGTATTTTGCCTGCATGCATGTAAGTACATCTGTATTGTGCAATGCCCAATGAGGTCAGCAGAGGGTGAAAGATCCCTTGGAACTGCAGTTATGGAAAGTTGTCAGCTGCTAAGTGGGTTCTGGGGACCAAATCTGGGCCTTGTGCAAGAATAGCCAATGCTTTTAACCTCGGAGCCATCTCTTCACCCCCCCAAGAAGGCATTTTTAGAAGAGTTGTTATAGTGATGTCTTTATTTCTCTTCCCTCTGTAGGTTTCTGAGACATGACTCCTGTTGCCTTCCTGACCATCCTTTGCTTGGGAGTGGTCTCAGCTGCTCGCTCACTTGATCCCAGTTTGGATGCTGAATGGGAGGAGTGGAAGACAAATTATGAGAAAACATACAGCCCGGTTGGCAACATGGAAACTCCTCAGAGGGACTAGCACTTGCTATTGGGAGTTTATGGGCACAAAAGGGGCCACAGAGGCCACCCCTCACTAAGGGGTTGCCTAACCATGTGCAATGTGAGCACAGGGTCACCAAGATCCCTGTTAATCAGGGTGTGGAGAATGACTTTCTGAAGGGTTCTGAGATTTCTCTCCATGGCTCCTCCTTACCTGTGGCAGGAAATGCCCTTGGTCAGCCTGTGGGAGAGTTTACTTACAAAGAAATAGCCATTATGTGTATTTCTAGGATGAAGAAGTACAGAAAAGAGCAGTTTGGGAAGAAAACATGAAATTGATCAAACAGCACAATGAGGAACATGACCAGGGGGAGCACGGCTTCACCATGGAAATGAACGCCTTCGGTGACATGGTTTGTGTGGGGATGGCTTAACACTGTTTCTTCTCTTTAGTCCTCTACCTTTTGGTTTTCACTGTTTTATTTACTTTTCCTTGAAGACCAGTGAGGAATTTAAGGAAACAATGATTAATCGTCCAGTCTCAAATCTCAGGAAAGGCAAAAGAATCCAGAAACGTCTGGCTCTTGATGATTTCCCAAAAAAAATGGATTGGAGAAAGAAAGGCTACGTGACTCCTGTGCAGTATCAGGTATGACATCGTCACACTCCTCTCTTCCTCAGCCCCTGGGGGGACAAGGAGGCATTGGCATCCTGTTTTGGTTGACTGTGGACCACCGTGCAGTCCATTTCTTAAATATTCTTTATTCTTTGCAAGTTTCATATATTTGTACAATGTGTACGGATCATATCTATCCACCACTCTTTCCTTTCTACTCCCTCAGAGACCCCACCTCATCTGAACCCCCTCCCAATTCACATCATTTGTTTCTTTGTCATTAATAACCTCCAGAGATCAGTAGGTCCAACCCATATGCGCTTGTCTGTGTTGCCATCCACTGGGGCATGAGCAACTTCCAGCAGCTGAGTAGAGTGACGTCCTTAGGCACCATAAACTGCCAATTGCTCATTTTTTTTGATAAAGTATGTAACTGTCCGTGTTGTTGTTGGAGTTACTCTTTGTTTGGAGATGACAATCTTTTCTTCCCTGTTCAGGGTAGATGTAGTTCTTGTTGGGCTTTTAGTGCGGTTGGTGCCATAGAAGGACAGATGTTCGAGAGAACAGGCAAACTGGTCCAGCTGAGTGTACAGAACCTAGTGGACTGTTCTCAACCTCAAGGCAATCTGGGCTGCCATGGAGGCACTGTAGCCGGTGCCTTCCAGTATGTGAAGGATAACGGAGGTCTGGAATCTGAGGAAACCTATCCATATGAACGAAAGGTAAATGGAACTCCTATGTGGTTAGCATTTCAGCTTAGAGTTTAGAAAGTAAAATAATTGCAGAGATAATCCACTGCTTTCAGATCTCACCTTTAGTTGATAGACTCTCTCTATAAGCCATCAGTACTGTTGTGTCAGGATTATTCTTTGCACAGTTGTCCTACGTGATGATTTCCATGTGGTTGTTCCTGCTTCTAGGAACATAGAGGATCTGCAAACCATTCCATGCATGATGCAGATTCCTCCACTGTGAAACTGTATGATGACAGGAAGATTTATGGGGTGCCATTGAAGACCTGTGAGCTAGTTTCCAGTTTCAAATCAACCAGCAGCATTTCACTTCCTGCGATGAATTATAATAGCTCAGACATGTCAATGCTTTTATGCCAAGTGCTACATGTGGTAGTTCCAATTCATACTCCCCAGGAGATGGACAGAAAAAAACAAATCTCTTCTGCCTTTCATTTTTAAAGGTAGGACCCTGCAGATACAGTCCTGAGAATGCTACTGCTAATGTCACAGACTTTATGATCCTCCCAGTTGGTGAGGATGTCCTCACGATTGCAGTAGCAACTATAGGGCCGATTCCTGTTGCAATTGATGCTTCCCATGATTCCTTCCGGTTCTATAAGACAGGTAAACATATTTCCTTCTGGGTGTGAATAAAACAAAACTTGTGGTGACACCACCATGACATGCCAGATTGATGGATCACATTTTGTTTATAAAATATGATGTAAATGTTTGGGCTTGTGGATTTTACATCAGTACAATAGTAGTTCTGTACTGTTTCTACTTGATATGAATGTGAGCACTCCATAATTGATAAAAAATCTTATTGTTTAGCCTAATTTACTCAACTTTTCTCTATCTGGTGAATCTTTTGGATTTGGGAGAAGCATGTATTTATATAATTAAATTTTAGCAGATCCTCTTGAAGTAATTTATGTGCAGTGAGATTTACCTGGAGTGATTTTCTAGTAGTGAAAATATAAGATATTAAGGAGTTATGTGCACCTAGGCAAGTGTTTTTCAACAAATTCATGCTGAGTTGGATTTCTTTAGTTTTTAGATTTTATTATTGAAGTTTTGGGAATTTCATACAATATATTTTGATCATATTTAGTCCCTCTCCTGTATCTACACCCACACACAATATCATGCACTC